AATGGGTGCCAAACAAGCCCCTAATGAAGTTTGGCGGATTCAATAAACTCCTTCACTGTTTACATCTTTCATTTCTCTTGTTAATAAATTATTGCTTCATTTCCTTTTATGCAGTTCCTTGTGTAAGTTCACAGCTCCTTTGTTGTTTTTATACCATTTCTCTAAGTTTATCAAGGTCTGGTATCATATTTGTGCATGTATCAAGCAACTTAAAAGCAGGCCAGATAAAGTATTTTCCAATGTTTTGAAAACTCAACTGGGCATCTACCTGGAAAAGAATTTGGGTCAAGGGTCGAAAGGTTTAATCGGGTTCAAACTGGTTGTATAGAGTAATTAAATATATCTATGATAAAACTTTACAAATAATGTTGAAGTCCAATATGCAGTCCAACTATTCTAACTTAATAGTGCAATTAGCAAATATATTATAAAGATAATTAAGTAACTTAATCTTAATTTTACCACTCAAAAGGAAAAAGAAAGTAGCATTGCCTCATTTTTAAAACAGAAGTAAATCTTCATTTTTAATGGACCAGAGCCTCGTTTTTTAAATGAGAAGTATTCTGCTCCTTCACTTACTCATTTGAAGAATTAGGGTAAATAGAGACTGTGCCGCCGATAGTTGAGGGCAAAAAAAATTCAGCAAGAGGAAGGGAAAAATTAGAAAGAGGAAAAGAAAACAAAGGAGAAATTAAGCAGTTAGCACCTTTCTGTTACAGCAGAAGGTATGGTAAATTTCTGGAAAAACTCAGATAGCTTGAAGAATGGTCCTGCCTTTTCTTCGTTTTTTCCAAACTATAGACCCTGTCAACTCGGGAAAACCATGTCCGGGTCGACTTGTTCAAGGTTTAACCGAACTTTTAAAGGGTTCGGCACCAGTTTTCTAAGAAGAGGTTTTCAATATGTAATCAGACCAGGTTCCGGCCTGGTTCCCGATGTTTGCGGTTGAGAATGCCTGTACGGTTTCCATAACATTGGTATTTTCCCCTTTCTCCACTTATTGCATTCTTTTGGCCAATGCATTTACCTGTGATGGACTGATCAGAGGCCAGCATTCTGATTTGACCACTCATTTAAATTGCTAGTCTGTTGAGATATCCATCCTTCAAGGCCACAAATTCTTTTCCTTCCCGCTCTGTCTGGCAGATTGGTATTTCTCTTCAACAACATGAATTAATTAATGACCATGGCTAATCCTTGTATGAAGCCTAACTCATGATTAACCACCACTTTTTAATAACACCTTAACATTCATCTATTTTTTACAGATTGGTGTTGATCGGAATGACCTGAGTAAGGTGTTTATACAGCTTACATTAGAATTTCTGACTAAACAGGTACAGTTTCTAATAGATGAATCATGCGATTTGTTTGTAGCTCATTCAGATGGTCATTGACAATGCTAGCAACAACTATTGTGTTGAGAGTAACCATTTTGTATAGTAGAATCCTCGAGTACATGTGTTCAACCATTACAACAAGACACTGAGGCATGAAATGTATTTTGTGGGCTTCTGCAGTATCTAATGCGAAATTTTTTAAGATAAGAGGAGAAAGCATTTATTTTTTTAGTTTTTTGGATAGGAATTAGATGGTAAATTAATATTATTATGTTCTTCTCTCTATTTAGATTACTTCATTTTGCATCCTTTTTTAGATGGTCTACATTGTTAGAGGTTTTCTTCTCTCTTTAGTTTTTCTTGACTATTTTGATTCAGTTACATGGATGTTGGGGTTTTTTTTGTCCTCTCTTTTGGGTTTGGTGGTGCTAACCGCCCAATTGTTGGCCTTATTCGTCTAATTCATTTTTTAATTCTTCATCAATTATGCTTGAAGTATCTTATACATACTCTTATCTTTTATGTCTTCGCAGAAGTTTGAGGCATATGATTCAAATGGAGGAGTTGTTGCAGGAGATAAAAATAAAGAGGTAGGTGATGTAGTTGCAAGCTCTATGGCTGCTCTTAGTTTCTGCTCCGGGTGGTTAAAACTGTGCTGTGTCTTGGAAAGGTGAGGTAGAGCCGTGATAGAAAAAGGGGGGATCCAGATAGGATGGTGGAGAGAGCATTTTCTTTTCGA